TAGTGAGGATCGAACTCACTACACAGTCGTAATTGCTGTAGCGTGATCATCTTCCTGACCATGACACCACCTCGAAGTGTCCAAAATGATTCTTTAAGTGTAGCATAGATGTAGGACAAGGCCGTGGATCGAACGTACTATTCAGCTGTAACTGATCTGGCGAGACAACCTTGATAACCATTACAATACTTCGAAGTGCCCTAAGCGATTTTCAAAGAGTAACTTAGATATAGCACAAGGCCGAAACTATGGGGTACCCAGTGAGGATCGACCGCACTATTCAGCTGTAATTTTTTAAATGTTTTTAGGAAATTTTGGTAAAAGTATTTTTGTTTATAGTTACTACCTCCACTTACTTAATTTTATGAAATTTCCGAAAATTAAACTTTTATTCGAATATTGAACAATATAAATCATCATTTTTTTTTTATCAAATACTTACTCATTTATCGAAAATCTGCTCCAAATCGTAAAATAAAAAAATATAAGACTATGACATTACTTTGAAAAGCTTTTAACTGCTTCTATAAATAAGATATATATAGGACGTTATTGTTTTAAGAAAAACATTTTTTCGTTGAATGATGCATTTTAATAACAATTGTTTTCATTCTTTTAATTTTAATTATAATAATTTATCAAGTTTTATATCTTTTTAAAATTTTGTATTAATTTCCGCGTTTAAGATTTGGAGAAACTTTTTGTAGAAACTTTTTTTCACGTTAACTATTCGCTTATATCGTGATAGAAGAAATTGAAACATAGTTTATAATGGCTTTATTGCGTCCGTTTTGTCCACACATCTCCCTATCAGCCAATAAAAGAGACTACAAATCCTCGCATTTGTTTGAACGTAATTATCAAACGACCATCTTTTTTTTAAGTTGCGTTGGTTTTACTTTGATACCAAAGTTCCAGTCTTTGTCGCGAAAAAAAAGCAATTCTCTCCAGCAAATTAAGGTTTGGATTTAATTCATTCTCTATCGATTGCAATGCCTGGCAAGCAGTAAAGATGAGTGCTAATGTTAATTAGTACATCAGATAATAAATCTTGAAAATGTATTTCGAGACGCATACACATAAACAAAAAATAAGCGAAAAATAATTCTGCTTTTAATTTAATCCCAAATATCGAGTCTTGCGGCCAGATCACGTTAACGTAAGATTACTGATGTTAAGCAACGTCGGGCATGTTCTGTACCTAGATGGGATACCGCTTAAGAATACCAGGTGAGTTAAGCTTTGTATATGCGGGTGATTTAATGAATAATGACTCGGAATTATTAATCGGAGAGCCGAGTTCTAATTCCAGTTGGGTTCATTATATTTACTTACGTGTAAATACCTCTGAGAAAGGCATGAATCCACCTCTTCTCCCCACCCAGCTATGGGTTAATTAGTAAGACTTATATCACTAAATCATTATTATCTACCCGACCAAAAAAAAACAAAAAACAATCTAAGAACATTTTCTAGGTTTAAATAACATTCAAAAGGTTGATAAAACTTAGTGTTGTGGATTCCAGGTTGAAATCCGGTACCAATAAATAACAAACGCAAGGAATGAATATATGAAAATAATGTCTTAACGTAATAATACAAACTGGTAAAGCAGGTTAGTAGTTCCAGGAATACGGGTTAGTAGCAAAATATATTTATAGTCTTTAGTATTGAATTATCGCTGTATGACTTCTTACTGAGTCTACGTGCTCGCTCACTGTGACTCCTACAACGCTGTTACCTCACCCCCTCACTCTTAACTACAACCTTTTACTCTGTCACTCTGGACTGGACTCGACGCGACGCTACTCTTCAGTCTTGCCCTCTCTTACCCTCGTCTCGCTCTTGCAGTAGTATATGTATATACTGGGTGAGTTCATTTGTATAAAAAAAGGGGTGGACTCTCAACACTAGGAAAACACGTCAATAAGAAAAAAACAACAACAGCCAAGTATTGATTTTCATTTTTTTTATAAACACTATTTTTGCCGGGAAAAATGAATTCTATAAAGAAAACCGGCTTTTCAAGGAAAACGTCTCTCTAAGGCACTAGATCAATTTGACCCGAAGTCAATTAACCTGCAGAAAGTTGTGATAGATGCCTTATATCGTGAAGGAGTCCCTCTCACCCGGCGAAGCTATGCAACACGATATATCACCGATCCTACAAGTGTTGAGAAAACCTCTGGAGAGATGTCGAGCTATGCTATCTCGATAGGCGTCCAAAACTCCTTGTATTTGTAGATGCAGAATCTTGCGTGCGAACAAACGCATATCCAGTTCTTTGGGGTTTTTTTTACAATAATATTCACACTGTACAAGGCCTAACAGCCACCCGAGGTAGAGGGTTACAGTGTAAGAGTCATAGTTTATGGAGATATGTGGCGAAGATAACGAACAAATCCTAGAATTGTGTTTTCCCTGCTATTGTTCACGTAATGCTTAGCCCTGTTAGACATTTTCATGACGGTCGTCCTCGAGTATCGAATCCAGAGGTTGGCAGTGAATATTTCGGAGACAGTAGGAAAGCGTAGTGGAGGTTCGCAGTGGATATCACAACAGAGTGTAGTTCATCCTTCTCCTGGTCGCCTTTGGTCCTTCCGGTAGAGGAAAACAAGATGGCCGCCTTTATACACGACGAATACAGTATTGTGCGGCTTCGGATTGGTCAACCTTCCATTGGTCGACTATAAAGGGAAATAAGTCATTCTGACTCGCTCACTAGTTATAAGTGTTATATACCAAAAAAATCGTAACAAGCCCTGGAGCCAATAAAGGCAGATAGTTACAGAATGAACCTCAGAGAAGGTAAGAAGTGAATATTAATATATATTAGAATAGCGAACGGTTTTCCCAAGCCTTGAAGAGGTAGTGATAGGAGAAGCATTTCTCTTGAGAGCCTGTTTCACAAAGCAGCAGCTCCTGAGAAGCTGCTGCCCAAAGAAAACTTTCATTTTTACCAGTGCAATACGAAAGAAATGAGGTGGGTTCGCTATGATTCCTCGGAGCACATTACAGGTTGCTCGTCACCTAAACTCGAGTTAGCTGCGTTACAAGGTCAAGTGAGATGCTGAGTCTGATGTCGTGGTGTTAACAGAGGTATCTGGTTGCATTTTAGTTGCCATAGCTATGGAAGCCAAAGATCGCTGAACTAACCTACCTAAATTTTTACCTATCGCAATGTACGGCTCCCCTTTTAGGGTGGACCATGTGTCTTGAACGGCAAAATTCAAGTGGAACTCGTACATGCGATCAATTGATCAACTAATTGATCAATTAGCTTAAAATTAAAACTAAAATAAAATCTTCCAGAAAGATTTTTTTTTCCTTTTTTAAATGAATTTTAAACCTTAGGCTTTGTCTTTGGCGATATCTAATTATACATAATCCGACAAAACTTTGCTCACAACAGTTACTGGATGGGGACAGAAAATACATTCCACACATTTCTTAGTCACGGTTGGATATGATGTCAACATGGAATAACATAACTTTGGTAGAGGAGGGATTTCAAAAAGATATTTGACCATTGAGTCTTTAAAACATTCTAAAAATTCACTTGTCTGCTAGAGATTTTGGATTAAATGGGAAGGGATTCAGAATGAGTCTGAATTTTTGGGCTGAAGTGATATTATTTATATTAGTTACAGTGAGACTAATGACCTTATTATTGATATTATCACAACGTTTCGACCGATGTGCCCACAAGTCTTCTTCAGATATCGATCGATCCGTGGAACCTTCTGGACATTTCGAACTGAATCCTTTATTTAATCCAAGAGGGCATATTATTCTCGTTCATCTGTCCATGTCTCGAGATATCTCGTATTATTGATGACTTAGTCGATAAACAAATTCATTTATATAAGGAAAATAGAAACCTAACTGACCTTGCAGCGACAGTAAATGCTTCTGAGCTAACTTACCGATTTTAATGTTGTCCTTTTCCACCAATTGTGTAATGTTTTCACTCGTAAAAACAAAAACAAAAAAAAAAAAATGTGTAGATATCGCAAGTGTCTTGCTCGTATACCCGTTTTGAATTTGTCTCGTGTATCTTGGAACGTCTGTGTCATATTTTGTGTCACGTTCCTTGTTATTTGTCAAAACTCTATCCATAATTATTTCTGAAACTATTTCTTAGGGTATTTGAGAACACAGAGAAGATTTAGCACGGCATTCAATCAAGTATTATCTTGTCTTTTACTTGTCAAAAGACTAGAAGCTCAAGCTTCAACTATGAAGTGATAACACAATGTAGAAGAAAAGTTAAAATAATAATGTATGAAATAAAAAAATGGGCCAGAAAACCTAAAACTACATAAGTCTTCTAACAAAATATATTTGGTCAGATTGTGAGACGAGAACTTTTCAGCACTCCCTAGAAAAAGTAGCCAAAAATACATCAAAACGAAATATATCAAAACGAAAATACACAAGATGCAATAAAATAGCTAATGATGCCTATGCAGAGAGTGGGAGAGGGCAGATAGGGAGAAGAGCGTGGCCGAAGATGACAATGAGAGAGAGAGCAGAGCATATAGAAGGAAATAGGGTGAGTGTGAGAGAGAGAGAGAGTGTGTGTGTGTGAGAGAGAGAAAGTGGCTGAAGTTAAAGAGGTGATAAAGAGTGGGCAAACAGAAAAGAGTGAGGAAGTGTGTGTGTGTGTGTGTGTGTGTGTGTGAGAGAGTGTGTGTGTGTGTGTGTGTGTGTGTGTGTGTGTAAGAGAGAGAGAGAGAGAGAGAGAGAGAGAGATAGCGAGAAGTAAACATGCTAAGGATGAGAAAAAAAAACCCAAAACAAATGAGTTGGTGATGGCAAACGAGAAAAGAGAAGGGACGCATATAGAAGAGGAAATGTGTTGCCAAACGATAGAGAGATGAGAAAAATGAGAGGGTGAGACCGAAAGAGAGAGAGAGGAAAAAGAGAGGGTATATATATATATATAGAAGAAGAATGTAACTAAAAGAAGCGAGGGAGAGATAAAGTTAGAATATAACGAAAAAAGAGAGAAAGACGTAACCCCGGTAAGAAAGAAAGAAAGAAAGAAAGAAAGAAAGAAAAAAGAAAGAAAGAAGTTGGTGAAGCCGACAGAGAACGAGAAAGACTGTACATATAGATAGGGAAGTATGTAGCAAAAAAGGAGAGGCGATGATGTATGTTTGTGTGTAAGTCAGTGAGTACGCGTGTGTGCATGCGTATGTGTGTTTGTGTGTGTAGCCGAAAGAGAGAGAGAGAGAGAGAGAGAGATAAGGTAAGAGAGATAAGCCTGGTGAGAACGAGAGACGAAACCACTAAAAAAAGAGTGGGTGAGGCTGAATGAGAAAAAGAAAGAGATATCTTATATAGCGGAAGATTCCGGCCAAATGTGATAAGCGGGGGAGAGAATGTCTCTGTGTGTGTGGACGAAAGAGCAAGAGAGAGAGAGAGAGAGAGTAAAAGAGTTAATTCAGGGAAGGATGAGAGAGAAAGAAAAAGAAGTGGGTGTAGCTAACAGAGAAAGGGAAAGAGGGAACTTATGAGGAAGAATGTGGCTAAAAGTGAGGGGTGGGAGAGAGAGAGAGAGTGAGGAGGGTATATGTGTCTTTGTGCGTGTAGACGAAAGTGAGAGAGAGAGAGAGATCAGGTAAGAGCGATAAGTCTGGTAAGGATGAGAGAAAAAAAACAAAGAATGAAGTGGGTGAGGCTAAAAGTGATAAAGAAAGGAAGATAAAGAAAGAAACGAGATAGGCCGAAAGTGTGAGGGAGAAGAAGAGGAGGAATGTGGCCGAAAAAACAGAGAGGGAGTGAAATAGGTAACCATGTTGAAGATGAAAGAACATCGAAAAAAGGAAGGTAAAAGGCGGGAACGAAAGAGAAATAGACACGCAGAAAAGAGCAGAAAAGCATCAATCGATAAAAAGAGAAAGACGAGAACATGGTATTGCATCTTTTGGGAATGCTGAAGACTTTTTCGCCAAAATCTTGGTTCTCTTTATTTTCCTTCGTTAAATGATGAAGATAAGAATGAGACGATGATGGCCCAGTGGAATTCAAAGTAACAGTGGTAGAAGAAAAATCCAAATCAAACAAACTCACATAAACATTCATGATATCAATTTTCATTGCCAGGGTTGAATGGAGGCTGAAGAAATATCCTACACGCTCACATCTCGTGCTTTTACTTTCACTTTCGCTTTCACTTTTCCTCACTGTTTTCTTTTTGTTTGACTTTCCTTACATAAATAGCCTCGCTAGATCCATACTTTCATGTGGATATTAAAATCGTTTAGAAATAAGGCGTCAAACGTATACAACGACTTTCTCATAAAGGAATCGAGTTAATGTGAACGAACCTTTCCTTAGCTGCATGTTTCGCCAGAGTTACAAACAGTTTTGAATTTAGAGTTTTCCTTCTCCTAGACGGGTTGCCACCCCGTCTGTCATACTATTTTCCCATAGCTGGGGGAGAAGTGTTGGGTTCATACCTTTCCCAAGGCTATTATCATCTAAGTGAATGCCATAAACACGACTGGAATTCGATTACCTCAATCTGAGCCGCAATCCGTGCCTCCGTTAAAATTTGTTCTCATACCGGGAATCGAACCCGGGCCGCTTCATCATCTTGCGGCAGCCGAGATTGAACTCACCAATACTTTGATTGGTGTAGTTCATAATCTTGTCAAATAGCTGAATTCTTGATGCTTCGCTAGGGCTATCAAGGGTGTTTTTATCGTGACACCAACACTAAATGGATTGCCAACCAAGGCTCAGAGAGACTCCATTCACCCTCCTCTAAGAGCAGGTTTGAATTCAGAGTTTTCCTTCTCCTAGACCAGTTGCCATCCAAGGCTATAGAACTATATATTTATCCATAGCTAGAGGGAGAAGAAGAGGATTCGCACCTTTCCCAAGGGTGTTAGCACGTAAGTGAATGTAATGGATTCGACTGGAATTCGAACTCGGCTCTCCGATTCCTTAATCCAAGCCGTGCCTCTTATCCATTACTCCACCGGGCCGCTTAGGTGGAATCCAGGAAACCTAGATTCTCATATCGATGGTTAATAATGGCTTCGAGCGTATGAATCCTATAGGTCTTGCCGAGTACCATCCTTCTTTGAACCTTGTGGATTGGCGATACAGACTTACAAACATCTGTACCAAATAAGAGAAACCATATCACTTGAAGACTTTTAACAACGGCAATGACTAAAATGGACAATTCACTTAACTTGGAGAGAAAATAATTGCATAATCAAGATGTTGACGTTCCATACTATTCCAAACAAAAGGTTAAGAAGGGAGCGACCATTAATAGCTGGAAAGAGCGATAACACTTACTAGAATTGAGAAAGCTATTTTGCTGAAAAATTATTTTAAGTCAAAGATTTTATAAATTTCGCCCGAGAGTAGCACTGGCTACTCGACCAACTGATGCCAAAAGGTTCCTTATAAGGAAACGGTTAATATTACCATTAATTTTCATTTTCTATTTTTCTCTTGTTTAGCTTTACACGCTCTTTTTCTTTTTCGCTCTCACCTTTACTTTCTCTTTCTCCTTCCGTTTCTTTCTCTTCCTCCTTCCTTTTCTTTCTCTTTCTCCTTCCTTTTCTATCTCTGGTTCTTTTGTCTTTTTATTCACTTCTTTCCTTAATTCTTCTTCTTCTTCTTCTTCTTCTCTCTCTCTCTCTCTCTCTCTCTCTCTCTCTTTTGACTCTTTTCTCTTCCTTTCTCTATTTTCCATTTTAACTAAATTGTTCTCTCTGTATCGTCCTCCTTTTTTCGTCGCTGTCTTTCACGTTTGGTATCAGTCTGCCTTTTCCTCCTCTATCTAAACTACACTCAGCCCTTTTTTCGCTCAGTCTCGTCCTGCTCTTATCTCTCTCTCTCTCTCTCTCTCTCTCTCTCTCTCTCTTTCACGCACACACACATCACACTTTTCCGTTCTCCTTCCCTCCCTCTCTCACACTTTCTCTCTCTCTCTCTCTCTCTCTTCTTCGTGCCACACCATTCGCTTCACTTTGTTTTTCTCTTTCGTTTCCACGCCCTGCTTCATTCATTTTTTTCTATTTTAGCACACTTTGCTTTCATCTGTCTTTTTCTCCCCGACTGCTTTCATTTCTCTTTCCGCCTCACCTTCCCTTTATCTCTTGCCTATCATTTTTTTTCTCTACCCTTCTGTCTCAGTTTGTCCTTTCTTTCTTTCTTTCTTTCTTTCTTTCTTTCTTTCTTTGTTTCTTTCTTTCGCACTCTGCGCGCCTTTCTTTCGGAACCTTACCAATCTCTAGTTCTCTGCTTTCTCATACCGCCACAAGCTGCCGTCTTCTATCTAATCAACCTTTTTTCCCCGACCTTAATCCCGACTTTCTCAGCTTTCTTACACGTTCCTCTCTGTCATCCATACGTGTCGAACTCTTGTGAACTTATTATTCAATTTGGCCCGCAGCCCGCGTAGGAAAATGAAAAAAAGAATGACTCGAGCCGGGGGCGGCCGTGGATGGAGGCGGTGTAGGGGTTGAAGGAATGACTGCTTCCGAACTTTTGGTAAGTGTCATTGTCAGGTTTTTTTCAAAAAAGTACTGAAGAAAAAAACTCATAAAAGTTTAACAGAACTCACTACTAGAGAGACGTCCATTGGCATAGTAAATAGATTTTTTCGGGATTATCATTACATGCGACAATTTAGAGCTAAAGTGAATTAAAAAAAATTAAGCTGTTTTGGTTTTTGTTTCTTGTTTGTAAAAGCTTCTTGATGCACGTGGTATTTGAAAGAAAAAACACAGTAGTTTAATAGAATTCAGTTGAATTTAAACATTCATGGCTCATATATTTCTATCATTGCTAGATAATCTTAACTTAAGACTAGACATTTGATCCTGAAAAAGGTATGTTACGCTTTCATCGTATCTTTCATTGTATAATTTATTTAGTAGACACAGGCGGACAATAAATTTCCAAAAGCCTGAATAGATGTCCTAATTTACTCAAGCATAAAAGTACATGTAATATAAGCAGTTCACAAGAAATAATCACATATATAGTTCAATACGTGCACAGGTTCCGTAATAAAGATGGGTTTCAACACTACTCAAGCCGTCTATTCGTACATTGTATAGCTTTCGTCGTCGTGAATATATGCCTGTAATCTAACATACACACGCTTGCGCAGAGGAAGAATACACGTCTAGTTTACATTATTCCACACTTCTTGTACATGTTGATGCTAAGCAGCAAGGGTTAGAGGTGAACTAAGTGAAGGAGTCAGGCGCGTCCCACCATGCGTGTTCAGATATGGCGATCGTCTTGGCCAGGGTAATTATGTCGAGTGTCGCTGACCTCAGGGCGGACATACGTCCACAGGAATCGCACATCGCCTTTCTATTTTAACAATTACAGCGAATTTAGTCGTACGGACAATCGTATGGCGGGCATAATTCTGCTGACACAGCATATCACATTCATGTTGCAGCAATGATAGTAAACCGAACTGAATAACTTGAGTAGCACGGGCATCGTACGGCGGGTATAATCCTGCTGCAACTGCACATCGCCTTTCTGTTGCAGCCGTGTGAGGAGAATGGTTTGAACAATATCAAGGGAGTGCTTGCCATTAAATGAAATAAATTCGACTGGAATTCGAACTCAACTCTCTGATTCCTCGATCCGAACCGCAATCCACTAATCTGCCCTACCCCACCTTAAAACTGGTTTCCATGACGGGAATCGAACCAGAGCCGCCTGGGTGAAAGTCAGGAATCCTAACTACAAGCATAAAAAACGAGGAAGTTACCCTACATTATGAAGCCAAGATATGATTCCGTGTGTCATCAGTCAATACAATTCTAAATGTGATTGTTTATATTCTGCGAGTGGAACTTTGTAACGTCCGGTCAGGTGGCAATTGTTACGGTAATTTTTCATTTATTTCTCTGTTTATTTTATTCCCTTTTGGTCATTTGGTAGCCGCTTTGAATATTCCCACTTCTGTGTGGGTCTTGTGATTCAATCGTATAGGGGGGTGAGAATTGTGTTATACTGGACTCTTTTATGACAGTAAAATATTATGTGTCATTCTATCAAGCTCAGGCATAAACGTTGAACTGGTATGCGTTACTACATAGCATAATTGTCGAAAAAAAAAATTAATCAGAGTATCAACCCCCAATTCTTACTCACATTTCAAGGCATTATTCAATTCTCAAGCTGATCCTCTTGCAATGCCACTATATACCTGCATGTGGTTTAAATGGTTGTATGGTCTTAAAAATATAAATTCTATTACATAGATGAAAGAAATTTAATGTATAAATAAACAATATCTATTTTATAAATTTTTTCTCAACTTCAAAATTACATCGACACTAGTCATGTAAATAATTGTATAAAAGTAATAAGTAGCATAAAGGAAAAAAATAGATTTTATTTATTTGTTGGGGTGGGGAGTTTCCAATGGCTAAATACTTAGAAAAGCTGAAAATATATTTGGGCGGAGGGGGGGGAATTATTCGGTGAAATATTTTTTTTGTTCTGCTTTTTTTTTTTTTTTTTTTTTTGCATATTCATTGACATGAAGTGGCGAAGCGAAGACCTTGAGACCACCAAGAAGTATTTCCTTTTTGAAGACTGATATTACATCATTTCGTCAAATTTGGGGAATTGGTTTAGAACCAGAATTCCTTAGCATTTCATCAGTCTAAAAGAAATATATTATAATCATACTCTACAGTTACCATTAGTAAATGTTAATGTGAAAATTAAAGCCACAGAACAGAAAAACTTTAGACACCACACGAACGAAGACACACACATATGCATATATATACAGGGTGATTGAAAAGTAACTCCCTATTTTATATATGATGGACTTTCCCGTCTAAATATAATTTTTACAAGTCGGGAAGTCCATCATACATAAAATAGTGAGTTACTATGCAGTCACCCTTTATATTTAATCATTTCAACCCAAAACAAGGCAATAAGATATATTGGGGACAGGACAACTCAACACCGCCGACTGAGCGACGAAACAACTCAGGACTTGGACAACTCAAGACCGAGACAACTCAGCACCAGAAAAACATAACTATTTTTTAATAACCGTATAAAAGTAATTTATTAAGGAATAAAACCGTAATTAGTGAATACTTTTCTTCAAATAATGCATTTAAAATGGCATTATGTAAAATATTAACCATTTTTTGTTTTAATTGTTTTTAACAAAGTAAATCGTATAGAAATTTATTTTTTAGTAAAGTAAATTTATATATAAAAATAAGAATTTCGATTTACTTTATTAAAAATAAATTTTATTACTATGTACTTTATTAAAAAATAATTAAAAACAACAAAGTGATTCATTTAGTTTTACATTTTTCGATTTAAAAATAATTAAAAACAAGTGTTTTTATTGAATTATTTTTTCTAATAAAAAAGACAGTGGGTAATTGTTGACATTGTATTTAAAATTTTGCAGATCAGAGTTGGATTGAAAGCAAGAAACCAGAAGAGACTTCTACAGGTGAGATGTACGAGAAAAGAAACTGTTAGCAAAGAACTTGCGATTACATCTGGCCACATTGACTGTAAATTGATGAGACATTGTTGCCAATCTTGTATTGCACTTAAATTCATAAAATCTAGGTACCACGCAGAAAAGTTAATCGGAACAATTACCATGAAAGTATTTATTTAAAAAAGGCACAGAGAAGCTACATTACGGCGGTTGGAAAAGGACTGAAGCCGGGATTCCAGAACCAGGACAAATAACATTGCAGATTCTTCTTTAGACTTTATCAAGAATCTCTAATTCTACAGCAGGAGCACCAGACCATATGTGGCTGCAATATTTGAAACATGAATGAATGGTAGGCGTGTAAATATATAAGAGAGATTCTGGAGACAAGAATTGTTTAGCATGATACGGTGAACCAAATTTCCTAACATCAGTACTAATAATTGACTCAATATAATCTTTCCACTTCATGTCAGCAGACCCGAGAAGGTGCAACGAGTCACTCTTCTGGAGGTTAGCATCAGCCATGCTGATAGAAGGTAGAAAAGAGGCACTAAAATGATTAACAGAAAGCCATTATATTTTGGAGGTGTTAAAATTAACAAGCCATTCCTTGCCTCAGTTAACAATAGATTTTAGGTCACAAGCCAATATTGTTCGTTGTGAGAATTTACACATTTAACGACTAAATGGGATCTGAATGAAGAAAAAGAAGTAGAAAGAATATATAGCAACAAGTTTGCTTTATAACAATGACAATTGATAAATATATATGTACAATAAATGTCTTTAAGTACAGTTAAAATAAAATCTTTCAGTGTCGTAGAAAGGAAAGGTTCTTTTTGAAATTCATACTATACGTTTGAGGGGAAAATGATCCAGTAAGTTATGCTTACTACCACGACTTATATATAGAAATATAAGATTTAAAAAAATTTTTTTTTAGGCATTGCGCCCCGAACAAGGCGTGAAGCCACTAGGATGCAGGGGGCTTGCAGAAGATTTGGAGCGAGAGCAGATAGGAGAGATAGAAGAAAGGACGAGGAGAGGGATAGTGGATAGATCAAGGTAACTGGAGATGTCGATTGACATTACATTTGAATAGTTGGAGATTATAGCTCTCAGGGAAACAGTAATTGGGAAGGGTGTTCCACGGGCGAGAGGTGCGAGGTATGAAGCTATTGGAGTAGAAGAGACGGCTACATTTAAAAGTTTCTACAGTGTAAGGGTGAGAGCGGGATGCCAGCCTCGTAGGGCGCTTGAATTCATGAAGTCTGGGAACCAGTGAGTAGTAGGTATGACTTACTGGTTGCTGAAGTTGATTCAGTTTTAACTTTTTCTAAAGCATCTAAACTTACAAGTCAACAAAGAGGATCAGACGCTTAAATTGTATTTTGCATGATGTGACTACAGTATATGGATAATAAATGCCCAGTATACAACTAGCTTATTGCTTGCTGAAAACATTTTATATTCAAAGTAGGTAAGTTCACATATCGTTGGTTTATATTCCTTACCCGTTCTTTTAAAGGGTTTATCCCCTGATTCCTATTTTGGATTTGGTTTCCGGTTCTTTTTCCTGAAAAGTGAGTCTCGTCTCGGGAAACACCTACCCGACCCCGTTTTATACGGGGTCTAAGGAGAATTTTTGACCGAGCCTACGGGCTCGGATACCCCCACATTAAATTCGGCCTTGTGCTACATCTAACTGCGTGGGGCGGTTGGTAGATATCCTGTAATTGGAGATTCATTGTGGAATTGACTTGACTCACTTCTAGCAGTTGACTACTTCTACGCACCGCTGGCGAATCTTATATGTGTTGTTCTTGTCCTAAGTATTATCGTTCATTACCAACCTTCGTTTGATTATTCTGTTCAGTAACCTTTCTTAGGTTACAACAATAAGAAAAAGTAAGGAAAAGATAAATGAAGAACCAATGTTA